ATACCTTTTTTGTTAAAACTACAAAAGGATGACTCGAAATTCTATAAAATAGAGATGTCAAAAGGCTGCAATTTTTAAATATGAAATGAGAAATTTATTAAGGATGTGGGTGCGCGCGTGGGTCTTCTCTTTTGTCTTGCACTCACACAGCCATAAAGTAGTTCGGAAACCATTGTAAAAGATTTGTCGAAACTGTTTATCTAACCATAAAAAGAAACTATCAATTATTCATGGCATGATATTTAACTTCTTGCACGTCAGACAGCCAATGCTTACCAGTGGTAACATTCAAAATGACATGTTCTATTCCACAAAAAATGAAAATCATTTTATTCCATCTTAGAACACTTGATAATATGCTCTTTAAAGTAAAGCTATCCGCGTTCAGCTTTATCTTGATGACTTTTTCATTGATAGGAAATCTAGAAGTATCCTTCAGTGTCTTGCATCGAATAGCTGTACTAAGTAGCCGACTCAATGAAAAGCAACAGAGTGAAAGCTGATATCCAAAACCAAAACTCTGAAGCTAGAGATTACGTAACAAATACAGAAATAAAGTTAGGTTCATGATAAAACATGATATCGTCGGTCAAGTTCTTTTGGCTCTCATTGTTTCAAAAGAACAGATCGTTGTCAGTTGATCATCAAGGGAATAAGTTATAAAATATTTCCATTGTAACAATCAGATCGATTAGTTTAAAACCTGTTTCGGTTCTTTTTTCCCGTGTACGAAATCTCAAAAGCTATTTCTTCTCTGGTTTATATCTTATTTTGAATGGTCTCTCTTTAGACAGAAAGTTACTGACGTAGTATTGTTATAACCAGGCCCGCGCAAGGGTCCCAATGCAGTCAATATTGACAGACGCAACATTTCTTTTGCATCAGATCTGATAATTTTTCTCTTGCGACCAAAATGTAAAAAAATTTCGCGAAGAGACAACCTTTGCCACCTTCTTAAAAAAATTCAACTTTCTCTGGCGAATTTTCAAGAGAACTTGTGTCCAATTTGAGAAAATTTCTCAATATTTTTGTTGTCGAAGATGATCACTCTGGTGAAAATCGTTCTAAATTAAGCTTTTTTGAAGAAAACATTGACTAAAGTAGGAATGTTTTCTAAGATAACTGCGGTTACACAATTTTTATTTTTCGCAAAGCGAAAGCGTTTGTTCAGACTCATAAAAAACTCTTCTTTTCCTTACATTGTTAGAAAGAAAAAAGTGTTACAATAACTCTTTTTAACAATTTTGCCGCCGAATGTAGCTACGCTAGTGACGATTACTCGAAAATGAGGCTCTTCAAAAGGAAGACAGTAGTAAACTTGCCATAAGAGCGACAAAATTACAGATATTTTTAAGACAAGTACTCTCACGCGGTTACTTTTTCGCGAAGCGACAAGGTTTAACATGTTTTCAGAATTTTGCTAGCAGAAAATTCCAAAAGCTTTATTAATTTTGCTGCCTAACAATGAATAATTTTTAATCATTGCGGGGAAGTGCACACAGCCCTAGGTTCGCGAGACCTGCCAACACCCAAACCTACTTGATAAGACCAACATTGAAGAGCAGTGTCTAATGATGTATTATATAAGCGAGCAAAGTAGGATGAGAAATAGAAACAATAGCAGCAACTCTCTATATCTAATACTTTTATAATAGTAAATCGAGTCTATTGACTTCCAATCCCGTTCATTCTTAACGATTGCAGTGCTTAGTGGTAGTGAAGGATAAACGAGGAGGGTATGGGTGCGTGTGGGTCTGGGTTGATGTGGATATGAGTATGAGAAAGAGAATGATGCCCACATCCACGTAAACCACGATATTTTAAAAAATGAGCCGTCACCGTTACGGAATCGCAGGTAATTTTAAGAATTTTTTAGGAGCCCCCGCTGTGAAAAAGTAAGTTCAGCCACCTCCACGAAGAAAAATTTTTTATAATAGTATAAGGTGCGCTGCTGTTTTATCCTTCGGCTTACACCTCTATTGACAACACAGCAGACGTTGATGAACTTGAAATTTATTTTAGAAAAAGAATCGAAACAACATTTAAAGCTAATGATTATAAACGTAAGCAATATAATACCACTACTAATTACATTAGAAAACTTAAACTATTTAATTTTTAGCCGTAGTTGAAGATTGTAAACGATAAAATACATTTATTAAGGATGTCGATAAAGACAAAAAGGGCATTTTAATTGCAAAACGAGTGAATATAATACCACCAAGTCGAACAAACACGGTCGTAAGCGGTCGTATACGGAGAAATATGGGTGGGTGGGATGTGGTTTTTCTCTTCTCTCAAACACATACATGAAACAAATTCTTATTGTTATGTTTTCGAAAATAGATCTCTATGTATTGTACCAAAATGATATTGCCACAAAATTTCTTTGTAGAATGAGGATTTTATATGAGATAACAGAACGATTTTTTTGCAGAAAAAATAGTTTTACACGTTTTTGTGTTTAAAAAGCATTTATTTTCAGCCCGGAAGCTTTAACCAAAATTCAATTGAGATTCACTATTTCAGGTTGAATTCGTCTACGGTTGCGTCGATTGACGAATATAGTATCTTTTAGATGAACTCCGAGTTTTGGCCATTGATGCCAAAAACGAACATCTAATGCTGCAACAATTATTGGATCACACGCTGTTTCCGCAAGACTAAGTAGCGTAACGACATTCATCACATTCTGCTGACGAAATGATACTTGAAAAATAATAACATATGGTGACCAAAGTACACCCCAAATAAAATAAAAACAAAAAAATTGAATGACTAATGAACGATGATATTTTTCACGAGCTGAAACATGATGTTGTGTCCATGGTAAAACTGATGTTAAATGAACATGATGAACACTAGCATAAATCATCAGCATGTTAAAGAACATTGGTAATGCATACGCGAAAATTGTATTAAATATTTGAACGTAGATAGTCGTATAAAATACTTCACAACTATCTCTAATAGGGTCTTTTATCTGAGTCCAACCAACAAGAAATTCAACGACACAAACAGCTAATGGTATTAAATAGATACAAAAGTGAGCGAGGATCAATAGTTTCATATGTACTTGGTATACATTACAATTGTATGCTATTTGTACAAAACGACATATATTCAAAGCTAATAGAATATATATTTCAGTTATATTGAAATAATTATCCAGTGTTGCTTCAAAATAGCAGTTAAATAAAACCCATACTCTGCTTGGTTGGCATTCCGTAGATGTTTTATGAATAATATAACTAAACAAGAAGCGAAAAAGAAGAAAAATATCAGTTAAAAGATACGAATGGACCCAATGGAGGTTTTTTTGTCGAAGAGGTGAAGAAAAACTAATTTGCAGCCAAAGTATCAAATGCATAAATGAAACAATAATATAAGCATAAAGTTGAGATTTGGTATTGTCAATAGTAGCTTGTGTCCACAAGAGAGGCTTTGGACATGTGATGTTCGTATTGTTGAACAGCAATATTTTTATTATTGTACTATCCATCTGCAAGAAGAGACTTCTGCTATTAAAATGTCAACTGTCGAAAGTATATAATTTATAAAAATACCAATTCTTAGAAAAATCTCTGGCGTATATATCATCGTGATGATGGTTAGGATTAGAGTGTGAGTGTGGGTTTGGGTTTGGTTTTCGTGTTGTAACGAACATTAAGGCCCATCATACTAACTATTGATTATATTCATGAAATATTAGAAAAATATGTATTACTTCCTAGTATGTATTATCTTAAATCAGATCTAGTTTGAACTTCCTCATGAAAGGAATTTTTCTATGCCGAGATGGCGTCAAATTCTAGAAATTTCATGAGTTTAACAACAAAAAGTTACCATGACCTTTACTATTTAACATCAATAAACTCCAATTTTGACACGATTTAATTTGGTATAAAATTTGTTGTTAATACTATTTGAAATCATAGCACTATCCCCTTGGAATAATAGTATTTCCTACCCTATATATCATGATTTCTATCAAAGCACGGATACGTTAGTATGATTGTGATGTGTGAAAACGGTTGCATTTTTAATAAGTTTCTGAGGAGAGATTATGATAAAATTACGGCTTTAAAAAGTTACCGAATGAATAATATATATGACTATTGTATAGATAGTGAGTGTCGTTATATATATATATAGCCACCTATATTAAAAGTTCTGTGCCTGAACAATTTTTGAAGTTTTCGGGCTAGTTGTTTTCAATGAAAAAGATTCGAGTATGATTGTCGTGCTTATGACCAAAGTCGACGGCAGAAATATCTCGACCAAAATATAACAAAATCCGCCAGGCAAAGATAAAAAGACACATGATTCACTATTGGCATTGTTGGAGTAACGAATTATAGGTAAATAAACTTTCAAGATCATAGAGGGCAGATACAATATGAATAAAAAACATCTGTGTAACACCAGAGGTGTTATGGGGTCCATGGGGTTCCGCATTTCACTTTTTTACTGGTAAGACTTTTGTACGAAATTTAATATGACACTTGTGCATCATTAGAAGACTGACGATTAGCGGAGAGATGGTTCCGAAAAGGATACATTTTTAAGTAGAAAAAAAAACGAAAAACAGTGTTATGGATCTCCTTGGACCCACAAAAATCGTAGAAAGGGTTAATTAATAAAATATTTCGAAAAATGGATACTTTAATTGGTACATTTATATCAGAGTATGACTAATTGTCAATAATTTGAACTTAAAATTTTAAAAGACTGGTGAATATTATTTATTGTTATTTACAAAAAACAATTGTTTCAACAATATCTGCAGCTTCTCAATCAGATAAATAATCAATTCATAAAATGGTATATATTAGCGGTACATCGTATTATGATGCAATGAAATATAAATTAAACAAATCGCATCCACCTATTAAATTTAGACAGCATCTAGGTGGAGCTGAAAGAATTTAGAGATTTTATAGATAAAAAATTAGGGTTAAAGACCTAATAATGGTGTCAGAATAAAAGCTTTCAGTTAAACTATGATTATATAGTAAGGAAAAACTAGATAGAGAATGCTAAAAACTGTCAGGTACAGCTGAACACGTGATGATTACAACTAAATCTTAAAGTAAAATATCTAATCTGAATTTCAGCAGGCAAAACAAGACCTACCTGTTAGAATAGTCACGAAAATATAAGAAAAATATCAATTTACTGATAAAACCTGGTCTTAATAATACTCATGTATTATTAGTCGCTATAAGTTTTATTCAATATTATATGCGAAGTCTAATTTAGTGAAATTTAGTGTCATTAATGAGGAAAGGTCCCCAAGTGTGAGTCTCAGTTTTGAATGGAATATATACTAGTTTGTAGAACTCAACAAGCTCATTCTCGTGGTATGTGCCGTTTTTCCCCATGGAATTCCAAATGAGAAAAACAGATCGACTTTACTAATGACGATCTTCATTTTGGATAAGTTTCGAGACAATTGCTAGTAATTTGGTACTTAACGTTTAAATGATCATGCTAAAACATAGGCAATACTACATGTGAAATTCTATTATTAATTATTTTACAAGAATAGGAGAACAGTACTTCCTTGCAAAAACTCAATTTCATCATCGCTATGAATATTAATTGTAGGATTATTACACTTGTAGGAACTTTATCGGTCCTGAGAAAAAACTTTATTATGTATCCAGAAGGTGGAGCTTAAGTTGCATTTAAAATAGTATAGTAATAGGCTCACATGCGGTATTGCCTATGTTTTAACATGACTATTTAAACTTTAAGTACTCTTTAAGTCCCAAATTACTTACAATTGTCTCGAAACTTATCCAAAGTGAAGAAATTCATTAGTAAAATCGATCTGTTTTTCTCATTTGGAGTTCTATGGGGGAAAACGACACATATCCCGTGAATCAGTTCTTTGAGCTCTACAAACTAGTATATATCTCATTCAAAACTGAGACTCACACTTGGGAACCTTCCCTCGTTAGTGTAAAATCCCTTGATGAACACTTTCCGTTACATGTCATTTTCATATCATAATGAATTTGCAATGTTTCATGACCAGGCTAAATTAATGCAATAAAGCTGTGTCACAGTTGGCGTGTGATCTAAGAAAATCATTTGATTTGAACGGGACAATTATTATCTAAACTTTTAGATAACTTTGGAATCGTATGAGAAAAGAAATGTTCTAGATTGTCACTTCCGACCGAATACCTTGTTTAGACACAATTAGAATCCAATGCCATTGAGAAAGAACTAGAATGATGAGCCCTCCTATCGCGATTGTACATGCTTTAATATAAGTCTGAAATACACTCCAATATTGCAAAACGGAATTGAATGAAACTAACTCCAGAGAGAAAAAGATTACTCGATATTGACGTGTATGCACTTATAGCAATTGATTGCACTAACCACATATATGCGCTTTTGTTCTGAATAAACTCGTAACTGACTTTGGCATGTCTTTTATGATACTGTAATGGCATGAATGCTAGTATACGTCATAGATCTACCACTTCCGATATCTTCTAATTCTATCATCTGCATTATGCCCTTATTCACCTTCTGTCTTTCTATAGTTAGACCCATTACTTCTATTCTCTTGCCTTACATAATCGTTCAACAAAGATACACCATACATTTCTTTCCGTATATTCGCGTATCTATGTCATCTTTAATGCAATTTTCTGACTTTCGATTGCATTTGAGTCATCAAAAAATTAAAATTTATGGAAAATTAAAAGCACCAAGAGGTTGACCTAGTTCTGAAGACAATTCTATTCAACTGGCTAGTGGCCATTTTCCATCATTCATACTTTCAACAGCGGCCAAACAAGATCTTCGAAAGCAATGTTTGGTTTGCGAAAATACGAGTGTAGCTTCTCAAAAGGGCCACTTAAAAAAAACTATAAGCTATTTAATAAATTTTCATAGCTATTTAATTCTAGCGTAGCTATTTAAAGTTTTTATAGCTATTTAAATAAACTATTTCTTAACTAGAACAAAACAGATACCATATACTAAACATCATAACAAAAAATTTAAAAACAACAATCGGGGTCACAATCTGGAAACTCTTAATTTACGAAATATACTCAAAATGAATAATGAAATCTTTTTCTAATAGTTATCACTACATTGTAAATAATACTGACTATCTTTACATAATGTATTACAAGCAGTAGTTGCTGCTGAACATACTAAGCATAAACCAATAGTTATTACATAAATGAGCGGCTATACAACTTTATTAACCAATACTGAATGTCTCAAAATAGTACTGCTTATAAATCACTAACCATCACACAGATATTTTCTTCGAGATCTTTTGTCATTTGCCACCAGTTTCTTGCTCGAAAACAATAAGTAACGTTAAAAAAGTCCGTGAGTTTAATTTTCAAAACGAAGAATATTTATTTTTTAATACAGAGAATAATTGATAAGTGCTCCGTATTAAACAGCTATTTATGCAGGTATTTTCGAAAGTCTGACTTTAAATAAATAGTGAAGACGTATTTGAATACCTATGAAAATTTAAATAGGTGACAAGTATTAAAATACCCATGAAAGCTTTAAATAACCATGGAGGAATTGAATAGCTATAACAGAATT